CTGAGTCATATTAATTGATTTGTGGGTATTTAAGCATCCTCGAATTCCTCAAATAAATCCCTCTTAATCATTTGGTTTGATCCCTTTTTTGTATGATAGAATTAAGTTTTTTAATATTTTAATGAGAATTTTTGTATCTATGTTCATTAGGGATATAATTTTCTTCTTTATAGTGTCATTATCTGGTTTTGGCATCACAATATGTCCAGGTGTGTGCCAATTTGGGTTCCTCTTGTTTGAATCTTTCTGTGATTCCCATTCATGGATTTCTGTTTCCTTCTTCAGATTCTGGACATTTTCAGCCATAATTGCATCAAATACATTTTCACCTCCTTCCTCTCTCTCTTCTTCTTATGAGACCCTATGATGTGAATACGAATGTTTTGGATATTGTCCCAGAAGTCCCCTAAACTATTCCCATTTTTTAAAGTTTTGTTTGCCTTTTGCTGTTCTGATTGAGTGATTTCAATTATTCTACTTTCCTGATTACTTACGCATTCTTCTGTCACCTAATCTTCTATTAGTACACTACAGTTTAGTTTTACTTCATTATTTTATTTTCATTCTTTGTTATATTTTCTTGTGGTTGTTGTTCAGTTGATCTGTCATGTTGGACTCTTTGTGACACCATGGACTCCAGCATGCCAGGCTCCCCTGTCCTTCACCATCTCCTGGAAATTCTCACTGTGTTCACGTATTATGTTTCCCAGTTCCATTAGAAATCTCTTACTATTGCTTTCAACACTTTATCAGATAAATTGCTTCTGTCTCATTAAGGTTTTATTCAGGATTCTTTTGTTGTTGTTCTTTCATTTGAAGCATATTCATCTGTGTGCTCATTTGGTTTCATTTCCTTTTTTTTTTTTTTGAATAAACAAGTTTATTTGTAAATTTAGTCAACATACATAAGTGGCCTAAAAACTTCAATAGAAGGATAAATTTTAAAACCACTTGGAAAGCCGTCTCTATGAAGTGATTTTCCCAGAACCGATGCCACATGAACACCATTCCTGTCTCTATGAAATTAAGTAAAACAATTGCCTATTCCAGTCTTGAAGGCATATCCTTCTGTGAGAGTGTCCGTATTCAATCTGCATCTAGCCAGTTGTTTTGATGGGAGAGCTGGATCTTAAGTGAGAGCAGGCTGCATCTTCCTCTGGGGTATGCTAGCAGACATCACTTTAGTGGGAGCTAGGCTGGAGGTCTGGATCTGGGGCTAGATCCAGAGCCAGGTGCAAGCTAGTGTTTCTCCTATGCACTAATGACTGGGGGCAGAGTGGGGCTCAAGGGGCTAGAGCAGGAGCCCAGAGGGAGTTGAGTGTCTCTCAGTGTGATGGCACTCTCTTCTTTGGTTTGGGACATGGTCAGGAAGCATTGGGCTCCTGAGGGCTTGGGGATGTACTTCTGTGTTGGTGCCATTTTTCCCTGATGTGCCTTGGATGGAGGCTTGGTTGGGTTCAGAGTGGTTGCTGCCACCTGAATGAGCTGTCCCTGCCTCCTCCTAAACATGCACAGACACATACTCTGGTGATGGTGAATTCTGCCCTGGAGCAAACTGTCCTGACTCTGGAGTGAATGCAGGGGTACACGAGTTGGCAATGAGCTGCCTTTACCCTGATAAAGCATAAGTTCAGGGCCCACTGGCTCCATTCTTTCCAGGTGTGCACATTCTCATTGGCAATAGCAGCCTCTGAATTAGTGGGAGCCACACTGGAACTAGAAGGGCTGAAGGAGGAGCCCACTGTGTGCCCGGCAGGAAGGCTGGGTAGTCCTGTCAGGCTAGCAAGAGCCACAGGCAGTTTTCCATCTGTTTCCTCCAAATGGTGACTGGGAGCAAGCATATATGTGTGTATGCTCTTCAAGAATGCATTCTCTCTCCTTACAGTGCTCTAATAAGCACATGGGTATTCAAGCCAGCTAAGGGGCTTCATCTTCCCAGTGTCAGATCCGGGGCAGCGTGTTTAATTTATGTCTCCTACTCCTCATCCCCAAGGGGGGCTCTTGAGCCTGTGCTACCCCTTCTCCTCTCTGTGCCCCCTAATGGTGCTGTGAGACATGACGAAAGCACTTCAGTTTGTGTGTCTAATTCTCTGGAACATTCTAAAGTATTTTTCCACTCGGAATCCTTCCTCCCCACACCCTCCAACACTTGGGGCTGAAGCAGCCATGCTTAAGGCGGAAGCTAGAACTCCACCGAAGGTGCAACTCCATGTTCATCTTCTAACTTCAAAATATGAAAGACTATATCTTACTGATTTAAAAAAAAAAGATTTTTCTTCCAAAACCAAGGATTGTAGATTCAGAGAAATAAAAATATTTTTCAAAAAGTACTGATAACAAACTGAAAAGATGCCAGGAACGCTCTAGGACTGAGATGTGTAACAACCCAGGTGATAAAAAAAACTCCAAAAAGGTTAAGAAGGAGCACCTCAGAAGTAGCAGCTGTGGTGCCTCTCATAATTACTCTGAGATGTAATTCCATCTCCCAGGAAGTCCTCTGTTTATTTATAACAAGCTAAACAGATGCCAGGCAAGCTGTGGGGCTGAGATGTGGAACAAGCCAGATGATAGAAACTCCAAACAGGTTAAGAAGGAGCACTGCAGCAGAGGCTTCCCAGCTTCTGCTAGTGGTAAAGAACCTGCCTGCCAGTGTGGGAGGCATAAGAGATGTGGGTTCGAGCCCTGGGTCAGGAATATCCCTGGAGGAGGGCATGGCAACCCGCTCCAGTATTCTTGCCTGGAGAATCCCATGGACAGAGGAGCCTGGTGGGCTCCAGTCCATAGGGCTGCAAAGAGTAGGACACGACTGAAGCAACTCAGCAAGCACACACACTTACTGCAGCAGAGGAGCCGAGTTGCCTCTCATAGTTCATCTGGGACGGTAGTGCCATCTCCAAGGAAGTCCTCATGGATAGGAATCAAAGCATGGTGCATCTACCCAGAGGAAAAAACCTCAAAAGAGCTCCAAGTTCCCATCACCGTTTACATGATGATAAGGAGAGTCAGAGGTTCTCATGGATCCGAACAGGAGGACGAATGTGCTGGGAGGATCATGTGGCAGAACATGCCTGAGAGGAGAAAAGGAAACCTCAGAGGACACAGATCTCACTCCAGGAGGCAGTGTGGGCTGTCTCAGAGGCATCTTTCCCTTTGGCTTTCTCAGATGTGAGTCAGCCACCTGTCCAGTGCATCCTCAAAGGACAAGAGACACATCAAGCTCGCTGAGTAGTCTCATTAAAGCTCAGTCTCATCAGCTCATAGCTTGTGGGAACCCACAGAGGGAAGCAATGGAAACACAATATAGCTTTCTCCACATGAATTCTCTTTTTCCTTGTGTCCAATCCTACTTTTTTATGCCTTCAGTATGTCTGAGAGCTTGAGTCACAAACCACTTTTCAGACACTAACTTGCATATTCTGCCTGTGAACCTATATTCCCAAGAGATTTTACTTTACTTCCCAAAGGCTATGGGTCTTGTTAACGTGACATGTGTGGAGGTCAACTTGTGAATTCACCTGTTTGCGTGGTATGGGCAAGGGATATGCATGGTGGGAGAAACCAAGAGACTTTGGCCACCTGCCCTTCTCCAAAACTGATTTTCTGAATGCCTTTCTCATTACATAACTTTGGGTAAAATGTTTTCACTCTCCAAACTTCCGTTGCTTCATCTGTGAAATGCCCTGCCTTCCTAGCAGGGCTTTCTGAAACTAAATAAGATAATAGAAGAGCAATATGCTCTACAATGCAAAAATAAGTGAAGTGTTGCCAATCCAAAGAGGAAATTTAGTTGCTGTAGACATTTATAGAATTGCTGAGAAAATAGAATCAGAAAACTCTCTAAAAGAGACAATATAGAATACAGTAGTGGTACACATCTTGTTTTCCTACTCCTTGAAAAAGATACTAAGAAGAGATGTAGACTCATTCACTATTACCAACAGGCTTAAAGGTTCAGAATATAACAGCAACAAAATTAAACTTTTTTAAAACTCAGCACAAATGAAGCCTTGTCTGATGTTCTCAAACTGTTTTATGATTGTTTCTGTTTTTAATGGTAGCAAATAACTTTCATCATATATTCAAAAATCGTTCTTGAAATACCCACTCTGTTCCATTTTAGGTACTGTATGAGACAGTTGGAATAAATTGTCTAAATCTTCAAAATCATCCTGTGAAATAGTTGTTATAGTCACTTTTTCTAGTTTTCTCAAAAATATATGCATATGTTTTCATGTGTATATATGTATATCCTTATGATTTCTTGTTTATATGGACCTTGTATATATTTATTGTAAACTCTGTTTTTGAGTACTTTTAGGTTTTTAAGGTCACAGAAAAACTCAACAGAAGGTATGAAGACCTCCCTCATATCTCTTGCCTCCACACATCCATAGCCTCTCCCAGTACCAAAGTCCCCAATCTGAGTCCTGTATTTGTTACAGTTGACTAACCTACATTCATTATCACCTAAGTGCATAGCTGACACAGCTATTCATCCTTGGTGTTATACATTCTGTGGGTTAGGACTAACATAGTATGACATGTGCTCACCATCAGTGTTGTTGCTGCTGTTGTTCAGTTGCTAAGGCATGTCCAACTCTTGGCAACTCCATGGACTGCAGACAGGCTTCCCTGTCCTTCCCTATTTCCTGGACCCATGTTCATTGAGTCAGTAATGCTATTTAGCCATCTCATCCTCTACCACCCCCTTTTCCTCCTGCCCTCTAGCTTTACCAGCATCAGGGTCTTTTCTGATGAGTTGGCTCTTTACATCAAGTAGCCAAAGTACTGGAGCTTCAGCATCAGTACTTCCAACATATAGCATCATATTTTCAATATATGCACTCCAAAAGAAAGGTGCCCTGCCCATTCATCCACTAATATTCATTTGTTACCCGCTACCACAGAACCCAAATCCATTCCACAGATTCTATTTTCACAGTCCATCACAATAGGCTGATGCAAACAAAGCCACAGAGAATCTGAACCTCACCTGGGAAAGCAAAATTCACCCCAAGGACCTGGAGAAGAGAAAAACCTGCGACCAGCCCTAACTTTTGGGTCCTGACTATGAGCCAACCTCAGGGACAGTCCAACACCAGTCCCAGCTGTGTGGTGAGAACCCAAGGGACAAGAAAACAACCCCAATGAATCCTAGAAATCTGTTAGGATCAAGAAGGGTTCAGGCAGGTGATAACAGCCACTTCAGAGCACACTTCTTTTCCAGGGGATTGTGGGAGCAGTGGTGCTCACTATCACTAGGAAATGTGAAATCCAATCCCTTCAGGCCTTTGCCTGATGCCAAATGGAATTGCAAAGACTGTAAAGGTCACTACGTACTGCAAGAAACCATTGAGTTGGGAGTAAGTAGGGATTTTTAAGAAGAAGAAACAGCTCTACTGGGCGCTGATGTTTATCTCTGATCAAAAACCCATTTGAAGGGCCATTGAGTTGACAAGGAATCCTATTTGTAATGAGAAAACTCAAGACAGAAACTATTGTCAGAGGATGAAGATAGAGGGAGACAGGTTTTGACTTAAATATTAGAGGACATCTTAAATATTATCGGTGATCTTTCTATAGTCTTTCTATAGTCAGAGTCATGCAAAAATAAAATGGATGCTTTGGGACAGAGTGAGCTCCCCTAACTTTTAAAATATAATCATAGGTTCAGTCAGTTTGTGGGTAGTTATAAGGCACACGATGGGGTAGATGGATGGGGATGGGGTAGAACTCCATGGTGAGATTACTTCCAATGAAATGCTCAGACATATCCAACTCTTTGCAGCCCCATGAATTGTAGCCCATCAGGCTGCTCTATCCACGGAATTCTTCAGGCAAGAATCCTTGAAGGGTTGCCATTCCCTTCTCCAGGGGATCTTCCCTAGCCAGGGATCGAACCTGGGTCTCTTACATTGCAGGCAGATTCTCTACCATCTGACCCAGCAGTGAAGCCCAGCTTCCAATGAGACATCCTTAGAATAAGAAACTCTTTACCAAAGTAACAAGATAATTCTGATGGCAAAATCTCATTTTCCCCATAACCATCAAGTGAAGCAGAGTCCCTGGCATTAAGCCAGTCTACTGCAGGGAGAGTGGCCAGTCCAGTATCCATCATCCGGAAGCCTGAATCTTCCTCCTCTTGTTTCTACCCAATAGAGACCAGAACTCTATTCTTACTCCCAGTACTAAGGTTGAGACTGGTGAAAAGCTTTCTGCTCCTCAGGCTCCTTGGGAAATTGAAAGTTTAGTTCACAAGAAGAGGTTTTCATCAGAAACAGGAGAGTGAGAGGTGCCCAAACAACCTTGAGAAATGGGTTGGGGGGTTTCTTTTGGGGCTTTGTCAAGCTTTAAGCCTCATAAATGAATGATTTCTATCACCTGCCAACTTTTAAGGTGTGTTTGTTGGCATAAAAGTTAGCCCCTCTATAAAGATTTGAAGGAATTCACTGCTGATAGAATTTGGCCCTTATGCCCTCAAAGGAGAAATACATACTTAGAAGTTTTACAATAATTTCTGTGTTGGTTTTCTGAGGTTGTTGTACACACATAAGTAAATTTTAGTGATTTGCATTTTTCCAGAAATTGCCCATCATGAAACTTTTTCATTTAATAGATGACATTCTCTTAGGGTTCTATTGTTGTTGTGTTGTACTTTGAAGTTTTAAATATGAGAAGAAATTAACTGAAAGGCTAAGGTATAAAGGAGGTGAACACACCAAACTTGAGAGTCACAGGGTTCATTAACCAGTTCACCACATATTGTGGAATCTCTGTGAAAAATCAGATTTGTGGTTGAGCTGGTGCTATGTGGTATAGTAAGAAGATGTCTTTTCTCTCTCTTCCCGTCCTCTCTACTAAGAACTTGGAAATAAGTAAATAGGGCTGGTGAGAGTTTTCAGGGTCTTTTGTTTGTTTTTCATGTTCTTCTTGTTTAAAAGTTAAACAAAATACCAAATACCTGTATTACATGAGAGGTATAGAGATTCTCTTTCAGATCAGAGCAAGCCTTCATCTCAATTATGGACATGATTAAAGAATATATTAATCAATCAAAGAGATGATAAATAAGAAATGTAGCATAAACAGAGATAAGGGACAGAGACAGATGAAGTGCACAGTTGGGCTGGCAGGAGAATCTCATTCCCTGGGAAGATAAGTCCTTCCACAGGGATGGAGAGCTCAGATGAGAGGGCCATTGGGATCCATGCCAAGAGCATCTGCTCACCTGCCCTAATTCAGGGCTCCCCAGGGCAGCTCAGTGGGACCTTGGTTTCCCATGTGGCCTTTTTTGGGAGAAGGATGCCCTAAGAGAAATATCCAACTCAGTTGACAAGTATCATTTTTACTGTTAATTTATAAATAAGGAACCTGATTTTATGTGTCAGCATCTGATGTCATTTGTTATCTAGATTTTTCATCTCCAAGTAAATCTGTTTTCTGGGCAAATGATGAGATCGGTTTGTGGACTCAGCCTGAGCCTAACTGTCAGATTCTAAACCTTCATGAAAACAAGCAAATAATGGCAATTCGAGGAGCCTCATCATTTAATCATTCCACTACTCAATTAATACACTACACTTTGTGCTGAGCACATGATAAGCATCATCTTGGAAGACAAACTCTCAACCTCTTTGTCTTCCCATTTGAACTTTCTGAAGACACCATCTAGACCAAAGATTTTCAATTCTTAACACCCACTATGCTTCAGAATCTATTCAGATTACTTTTTTTAAAATACAGATGGTTTGTATTTTGGGTAGGGGTCTCTGGAAATTGTGTTTTTGAAAGCTCTGTAGGTGATCTGAAGAATAGCCAGAGTTGTAAGCAATGAAAGGATTTGCATTGGCATCACTTAGAACAAAATGTTCATCTATATTAGTTTTCTATTACTACCTTTAGTGTCTAGACAGATCTAAGTATGGTTTATGGGTGATTTCAATAAAAACCCTGAAGGAGTCATTTGAACACAATAGAAAGTAAAAGATAAAGACATGAGAATAAATGCTTGAACTTATGTATTAGTATTCTCTGGATGCTATAGTAGAAATCACAGACTGAATGACTTATATAATATAAATTTATTTTCTCATATTTCTGAAAGCTCACAGTCCAAGACCAAGGTGCAGTAAAAGCTGGTTGCTGGTGATGCCTCTCTCCTAGGCTTAAGGACAACACCTTCCCACTGTGACCTCAAATGACCTTTTCTCTGTCAGGGCAGAGAGAGAACTCTTTCTCTTCTCATAAGTTCTATCAAATTAGTCTCCTCCCTGCAACCTCATTGAACCTTAACTAACTCCATAAAGGCTATATCTCAAAGTCCAGTCATAGTAGGGTTTAGGAAAGGGTAACCCACTCCAGTATTCTTGTCTGGAAAATCCCATGGACGAAGGAGCCTGGTAGGCTACAGTCCATGGGGTCGCAAAGAGTCGGACACAACTGAGCGACTTCACTTTCACTTTCAGGACCTCAACATATGAATTTTGAGGGGACATAACTCAGTCTATAACAACTAGTTTACAGGATGATAAACTTCCTCTTGGGGTGTATGTGGCTTTACTATTTCTAAAGCCAGCTCTGGTCATGTCAATCCTGTGCTCAAAAATTTAAATGAATGATGCTTTTCTATCAGGTATTTTGGAAAATACTATAATACAGAAAAAGAAACAGACCCAAAACTTAACCACTATCAACATCTTCATATCAAGTTTTGTATTCCTTTGTGTCCCACATAAACGTATGTGAATATCTTTTTTTTTTTCATTTATTTTTATTATTTGGAGGCTAATTACAATATTGTAGTGGTTTTTGCCGTACATTGACATGAATCAGCCATGGATTTACATGTGTTCCCTATCCCGATCCCCCCTCCCACCTCCTTCCCCACCCAATCCCTCTGGGTCTTCCCAGTGCACCAGCCCCAAGCACTTGTCTCATGCAGCCAAATTGGGCTGGTGCCAATAGGCACTGTTAAACCCAGTCACCTATATGATGTAAATTATTAGAAAGGCTATCTGAATGCTGTTTGAAAATAAAATTAAAGGTGTACAGAAACATGGAGATTGTTAGGCTACTAAACTACTCCAGGTAAATGTTGGTGGCCATTTTGGATCAGATATGTGGTAAGTTGTAGTCATATTACCAATATAGATAGATGACAGATAAATAGATGATAGATTAGATATATTGATAGAAAAGATAACAGTATTTGCTGATAGAATGTGGGTTATGAGAAAATCAGTAAGATAACAGAAAAGTTATGTGGCAAAAAAATGGAAGTATGAAGGTGGCATTTATTGGGATTGGAAAACTGCATAATCATAGACATGTAAAGTTGGAGATGTCTATTATATATCTAAGTGGAGATGTCAAGTAAACAGTTGCATATTTATTGCACTCTCCAAAGTGGAGTGCATTGGAGAAATCCAGACCAGAATTTTTGGAGCAGTCAATATGTTTAAAATCATGAGATGGTATGATATCTATATTGGTTTTCTATTACTGCCATAAAAAATAAATCACTACAAATATAGTTGCTCAACACAAAACTATTATCTCACAGCTCAGAAAATCAGAAATCTGGAGTCTCATTCACACTAAATTGAGGTATTCACAAGCTAGAATTCTTTCTAGAGTCCCAGCAAGAGAATCCATTTTCTGCTTGTTCTTTTTCTTAACTGTCTCAAAACTTTTCTATTGTGAGGTAATTTTTTAACTAATTAATTTAATTTATTGGAGGATAATTACTTTACATTATTGTGATGGGTTTTTCTATACATCAACATAAATTGGCCCCATGTATACATATTCTTGTTATTGCCTGAATTCAGTTCTTGGCAGTTGTAAGACTGACGTTTTCATTTCCATTTGGTTGTAGGCTTTCTTAGCTTCTAGAGACCACCACATGTTCTGAACTTCTGTCCCTCTTACTCCATCTTCAAAGACAGAAATAGCATGTCAAATTCTCATCTGGTATCTCTCTGACTCACTTTTCTACCTCTTATTCTTCCACTTTTGTGAACTTCCATGATTAAAATAGAACCATCTGGATAATTTAGAATAATCTCCCAATCTCAAGGACCTTAACCTTGATCACATCGGTAAGACATTTTTGCCTCATAAGTTTACATAGTCACAGGTTCAGGGATTAGTACATGGCCATAAGATAAGAAAATAATGAGTATAGATAGTGAAGAAAAATTACATGGATGGTCTGTGTCTGACCCCTGGGATATTACAGAATTTAGAGATTGAAGAGATAAGAAATTAGTCAAGGCAACTAGGAAGCTACCACTGAGTGTGAGACAAATGACTGTGATTGTTGAATGCAAGGTGATGCAGGGATTCAAGCAAAGATAGCTCGATTCCTGCTGAGGTTGAAGGGAGATGAAACAGGTTGTCTATGAGATTTAATGATAGTTTAATGAAGTTTCCTAGTGACTTGAACAAAAGCAGCTCTATTGGTGTGCTGGGAATAAAGCAGGATGAGAGGGACTCAGAGAGAGAAGTGAATTAATTCAAATAAGATATACAAGTAGTTAACACACAGGAAATGATGTTCAACCTTGTTATCATTATTGTTGTTGTTGTTGTTCAGTCACCAAGTCATGTCCAGTTCATCGCAACCCCATGGATTGCAGCACTCCAGGTTTCCCTGTTCATCACCATCTACCAGACTTTGCCAAAGTTCATGGCCATTGAATCGGTGATGCCATTCAACCACATCATCCTCTGTCACCCTCTTCTCCTTCTACCTTCAATCTTTCTCAGCATCAGGGTCTTTTCCAAAGAGTCAGCTGCTCTCATCAGGTGGCCAAAGTATTGGAGCTTCAGCTACAGCATCAGTTCTTCCAAACAGTATTCAGTGTTGATTTTCATTAAGATTGACTGGTTTGATCTCCTCGAGATCAAAGGATTCTCAAGAGTCTTATCCAACACCACAGTTCAAAAGCACCAATTCTTTGGTACTCAGCCTTCTCTCTGGTCAAAGTCTCACATCCATATATGACTACTAGAGAAACCATAGCTTTGACTATATGGACCTATGTCACAAAGTGATGTCTCGGCTTTTTAAAACATTGTCTAGGCTTGTCACAGCTTTCCTGCCAAGAAGCAATTATCTTCTAATTTCAATAATAATTAGGGAAATGCAATTCAAAAATGACAATGAGATATTACATCACACACACTAGGAAGGCTATAATCAAAAAATGTATAATAGTTATACACAGAAATTCTCCTATAATGCTGGTGGCAATGTGAAAATGGTGAAACTGGAGGTAGAATATAGGAATAAAGGAATGAGAGGAGGATGGACTACAAGAAGCATTTTGAAGAATAACCCAATGGAAGATGATGATTGGTTGGATGTCCTGAGAAATATGTATTCAGGTCAAGAAGCAACAGTTAGAACTGGACACAGAACAACAGACTTGTTCCAAATCGGGAAAGGAGTATGCCAAGAATGTATATTGTCACCCTGCTTATTTAACTTATATGCAGAGTATATCATGCAAAATGCCAGGCTGGATGAAGCACAAGCTGGAATCACGATTGCTGGGGGAAATATCAACAACCTCAATTATGCAGATGACAGCACCCTTATGACAGTAAGCAAAGAAGAGCTAAAGAGCCTCTTAATGAAAGTGAAAGAGGATAGTGAAAAGGTAGCTTAAAACTCAACATTCAGAAAACTAGATCATGGCATCTGGTCCCATCACTTCATGCCAGTTAGATGGGGAAACAATGAAAACAGTGAGCTACTTTATTTTATTGGGCTCCAAAATCACTGCAGATGGTGACTGCAGCCATGAAATCAAAAAACACTCACTCCTTGGAAGAAGAGCTATGACCAACCTAGACAGCATATTAAAAAGCAGAGACATGACTTTGCCGACAAAGGTCCATCTAGTCAAAGCTATCGTTTTTCCAGTAGTCATGCGTGGATGTGAGAGTTGGAATATAAAGAAAACTGAGCACCAAAGAATTGATGTTTTTGAACTGTGGTGTTGAATAAGACTCTTGAGAGTCCTCAGACTGCAAGGAGATCCAACCAGTCAATCCTAAAGGAAATCAGTACTGAATATTCATTGGAAGGACTGATGCTCAAGCTGAAGCTCTAATACTTGGGCTATCTGATGTGAAGAACTGACTCATTTGAAAAGACCCTGATGCTGGGAAAGATTGAAGGAGGGAAAATAAAGGGAGGGCAGAGGATGAAATAGCTGCATGGCATCACCGACTGGATGGACATGAGTTTCAGCAAGCTCCGGGTGTTGGTGATAGGCAGGGAAGCCTGGTGTGCTGTTGTCCGTGGGGTCACCAATAGTCGAACATGAATGAGTGACTGACCTGAACTGAATTGAACTGGATGCCTGGAATGATGGAGGAAAAAAGAGTCAAAATTAGTGAAATTATAATTCTCTATAAATCCAAATAGGCATGTTACTTTACCTGGGAAATGTAAATGTGTTGTTTAACATTTGTAAGTTTTATTTTTCCATCTGTTCAGTGGATTTCTGCCTCACAGTATCATTGAATGTTTAAATGAAAAACTTATGTAAACCCTATTGAGCAGACTCCTGAATAACAATGGAAGGGGAGCTAGTTTGAAGACTGGGCTGCTGAAATCCAAAACACACCTTGTAAAGAGAGGAAGAACTCTTACAAGACCCAAGATTGAGAAGCATGTCCTCTCAGAATGTTTCCTCTAAACTGAGGTCATGGTCCCCCTCTCCAGGTCTCCCAGGCACCAAGCCCCCATTGTTCATTGAAGGAGTAATTCTTCTATTAGCAACCAGCTGATGCATAAACAGTGAACTCAGTCCATATTGCAGCAGCAGCATCAGAGGCTAGGTCCTTGGGAGAGGAACAAATGAAGAATATTCCCATCCAATATTCCAGGATTCAGTGACCATGTAGAGAAAGGATAAGATGTGAAAATTGGAATCACTCAGTGTTGGATTTAAGGCTTTCCTCTGTCACCAACCAGCTGGAAATAACAATTACTGTCTTGTAAAATATAGAACATGATAGCTACCCTAGAGCATTCTTGTGAGAACTAGAAGAGGTAATTTGCAGAGTGCCCAGGATAAAACTTAGCCCATTATCAGCTCTGAAACTCTAGCTCAATCTCTTGCTGAGCTTCATCACATGGGTCAAAGTAAAAGACCAGGGGCAGCTGGAGATGAACCTGAACTGGAGAAGCAGGTGTCTGAAGGATGTCAGCATCAGAGTGGAGGTGTCCCAAGATTCCCCTGTTTTTTCAATTATCTTCGTGCTCTGGCCTGTGTTCTGAATCACAGGGTAGAAACCGCTGAGAGGCAACTCCTTTCAGACACTGCTCACTGATACTCTGGGAATGAAAGACAATGGCTTCTAAAAGCAGATGAAGCATAAACCAGATGCAAATTTGGAAAACTCAGCAGTGGCCACAGGAAAGATCAGTTTTCACTCCAATCACAAAGAAAGACAATACCAAAGAATGTTCAAATTACTATACAACCGTTCTCATTCCACATGCTAGCAAGGTAATACTCAAAATCCTTCAAGTTACGCATCAGCAGTATGTGAACCAAGAATGTCCAGATGTATAAGCTAGATTTAGAAAAGACGGGGAACCAGAGATCAAATCGCCAACATGTGTTGTACCGTAGAATAAGCAAGGGAATTCCAGAAAAACATCTACTTTATTTCACTGACCACACTAAAGCCTTTGACTGTTGGATCACAAAAAATTGTGGTAAATTCT